GACAAATGAGCCGGCGCGTTGTCGTGGTGAAAAAACCACTTGCCGCTCCTCCAAAGTTCGGGCCGTTCTCGCCTGATTTTGTCTCTTAGGCGTTTCATAACACCAGTTAGTACTCCGTGTTGACTGTCCGGCCTGTAGGTAGGTATTCGTGATGCACAACCTCCTTTGCATCGAAAAACAGTCAACATCGCCTTAATATTTGAGCGAACTTGTCGAGCTGTTTTGGGGCGGGGGCTGTTTCACCCACCCGTGGAAAGTTTCCTTGAAGGATTTTCCAAGTCTCAAACAGAATTTCACAGAACAGCGCTGTTCTTTCAAAGAGCTGATTTCCGTGGATCCGAATTTTCGCCGAGCCCTACAAACACCACTTCACATAAACGGCCGTAGCTAATCACCAAAACAAGATATCAACAAACAAGTTGAAGGAGATTACTCGGGGAGTTTCCGCGAACACAGCGCCTCCAAGCGTATTAAAAAATAATAAACTGGAGATGCGCTATTCAATAAGTTCGGGAACTTTTTGAACAACCCACGTACATTTTCTTTACATTTTAGAATTCACAATAACCATATAAAAAGCAATATATTTTTGTTTATTTGTTTATTATATACTGTTGTCCAACAGAAAAGTAAACTATCTTATTTACAAATCTTTTCAAAATATACAGTTTGATGGGGCCCTTCTAAAAACCGGGTTCTAGACATTTGTCTATGCGATGATCCGGCCCTGATTTCTACTTTAGTAGTAGTTAAATAATTAAGCGATTTCCCTAATCGCTTAATTATTGGGGACGTAAACAAAACCCCGGCGAAAGAGCCGGAATATTACTTAAACAAAAGCTTAACCGAACCAATCTATAGCCGAGTACAGTGGGGACTGATTTCTTCGAAATACTGTATTAGATGTAATAAAGACAGAAATTTTTCCAGTTCAACGAGAATGACCGAAAAGTTGTAAATTTTGGAAATTTCCGTGGACAACACCTGGTCCTAAAACGAATTAGTTAGAAAACAAATGACTATTAAGTTTAACATATTTAGATTTTTACAGCTATGGTGAGAAACGTTTAAAATCTACAACAGCCCTGTCGTGTCCTTTGAGATATACTAATGATGTGACAAAAAAGGTATTTGACATTGACCGGTCTCGGTACCCTGGGGATTTGGCAGTCCTCGTGTATGCACGCTCTGCAACCGTCTTCGATTCCATCCATTAGCCACTCGTAGGGAGCTATTTGACTAAGTGCATTGTTTTAAGATTTAAAAAGTAAAGATTATTTTATATTTTTATGTACGTTTCTTTGCAAAGCTATATTTAATTATAATTTTCTTTAAAAGTTTATTCATATAATTGAAGAATATTTTGTATGTACCAGTACATCCACCACATATTTTATTTCACCGAGTAAGTTTTTATTATTTTATTTTTAATTGTAGCCCTTATATCGTGGCTAGCAATTCGGAATGTAATTGTGATATTAAAAATGCATTTAAAGAATGCTACTGTTTTTACTGGCTTATCGAATAAACGATACGAATGGACCCTAGACCATCACTGACGCGCAATTGACTGATTGCCCCTGGATGTCGGCTTCTTACAGAAACACAGCTTCCCTATCGTCAAATGTCACGGAACGCCCCTGCCTTATACAATGTCTCTTTAGTCCTTGGAATATAATCCTTAATCCATCGGCGCACAAACAAGGCGGTAGATCATGTTCACATAAGCCACACGGATCTGGGAACTTCTTTCGGGGAGAACGATCTTCGAATTTCTCGAGGAGAGGAACCCTTTCAGAACGGCCTCAGCTAGCGATGGTGACCGAATAAACCTGATCTTCTTTCTATTGTTTCTTTTCCACTGTATCCGCATGCCTAAATTTTATCAAAATCCTGCGGGGAACTTATCTCATTGTCCAATCGAAGATTTTTGGCAAAACCGCCTGGATGAGTAGTCATCGCAGGAAGATGTCATTTGGAAGGGAAACGAAATCGAGACAAGATTTCATAAACTTCCCCGTTGATTTTTTAAACAAATACAGTATTAGAATAAATACAAATATCGGATTTTTATATCAAAAACAACTTCTCTGGAGAGAAAATCTACAGTTCAAAAAGTACAACAAAGGTCTATTTTCGTAATACAGTAATTTATCAGCTGTTTATCATTAGCGGTATCTGAAAAAAAAAACATTCACTTTGTAATTTTATTAGAATATTCCGAGGCTTGGCAAAAATCTACAAAAGCAAGCTTCTTTCCAACTAGACATGTTCAAATTGACTTTTGCCCAGGGCTCAACAAACTCTAGGACCGGTTCTGGACCAGTGGTGCGTTATAGCTCATGGAGACCAGGCATATTTGAATTAGGAGGCCCCATGTACAATGTTGACTTCAGACATTTTTTCTTCGGGGGATTTTTGGAGAAAATATTTTCTTATAAAAGATTGGGAAATTGCATGGGCCCAAACCATTCTTCCTATAGGATAACGCGCAATTGTTCTGGTTTCTAAAATAAATAAGTAGAGAGGTTGAGGCACAAGTTCAAACGTTAAACGTGTACGGGTAGCAGAATAAAATAAATAAGTAGAGAGGTTGAGGCACAAGTTCAAACGTTAAACGTGTACGGGTAGCAGAAGTACACGTTACACGTTTCAAGTCCAAGTAAAAATCGTTGAGGCACACGTTCATAACATCACGTGACTCAGTGAACATCGCGCATTGACTCACGGGAAATAAGTTGAAAAAAATGGCGGAAGCAAAATAAATCATAATTTTAACCCCAAACACAAAAAATGAAGACGTTTAAGCCGATCGTGTACTCACCAAGCTACACGTAGCAAACGCCATTATCGACGGTCCAGAACTGCCAGATGGCGGCGCTCACCCGTTACCCGTACACGTTTTGGGCTAAATACGTGCGCCTCAACCTCTCTAATATCTGTAATCTATCAGTTCTTTGTCGGACATCCTGTACATTTGGTTATTCCCTGCATTTAAATTCTCTCACACAGAACACCCAGACTGCAGCCGAGCGTTTTTGAGCTGAAATTTGTAAAAATCTGATCTATAAATTCCCATTGTCGCCCGTCTGTCCTTAATCTCGAGAATGTAATTAGATGAAATCCGAGACCAGATATAGAAACCTTAGGGGCAGACGACGTGGTTAACTGAGCTTCAGATGCAAACCGGAAGTCACGTTATTTCAATTAAAAACTTCCCGAAAGGTGTTAGATGACCGGCATGACTATTGTTAAAAGAAAAGTATGATGTACGGGGGAAAGCCACTTATAATTTCAGGTGGGAACACACATTTTAAATTAGATAAATTAAAAATATGATTGAAACTTGCAATCTGGAACTGTAACGATGTCACAATAATTGCTCTTTTCTGGTTAATTACTTTTCCATTCCAGAAATACGGGAATTTTTATTTTAGCATGACGAATGAGCGAGATCACGCATCACCAGTTTTCTTCTAACTGAATACTCTCTATAATGAAAGATTGGATTTTTAATAATGGATGTTAGATCCGTCAAAATTACCAATGTGCCAAAACAATCTGTTCGGGTTTATTGTCAAATATCGCACATAAGAGTACTTACATCATCCTTGCAATAGTTATTGTGAAAAGCGTGATTAGTAAATGAGGTAATAATCAGCCAATCGATTCTGAAACTTCTGTGAAGGAAACTTTCTTTTAACAAAAACTGGTCATTGATAAAATAATATGAATTTGTGCAGAAAAAAAATTGAATTCGAGTGATACTACGATAAATATTGATTACGTAAACCTTTTTTAAACATTCCTATCAAAAAGAAATCATTGTATGTCATAGTGACACATTTTTGTTCAGAAATACGAATTGCATTATTTTTTATTGATCAAATGACAATATTCAAATGTTCTGTTTTTTAGTGACAGTTATTGTATGACATCAAATATTTCTAATCAACCCTTTTAAAAAAAAAAATAACTACTGTATTATATTAAAAGATTTTTCAAAGTACGAATTTCTGTGAAATTTTTAAGTAGTCGAAAATTTCTTATTAAATCAAAGAAATCATTTAAATCACACCAATTTTTATTTAATTTCTATTATATATATATATATATACACTACATATTCTACAGAATAAAATACAGAAACTTTGATATGCAATTTCAAATACAGTGAGTACCTCATAGCTTCAATTTTTACAAGAGTAGCCAACAAAACTTTGTTAAATATATTGAATATTGATAGGTGACAACAAAACTCGCAACTACTAAATGTACTGGCATATATGTGACAACAAAATATTTTTTACTTACCATAAGTAGATCCAAATGGAAAAATTAAATTGTAACTCTGCACATTCCATAGTGAATTCTAAACTGTTTGATAATTCTAATTATAATTTTTTCCTAGTCATGTAAACACAGTTTATTATTTTCAAATATTCCATATATCTATACAATTTCCATGAGGTTGTCAACTGGTATTTATAACAACAAAGATTTGAGATACTAAAATTGTAAATATGCTCTAGGTGATAAAATTTCTATAATGAGCATTATAATAAAGACAACTTCTAAATGTGCTCAATATAACATCTAATAGTAGATTGAAAGATTATGGCACTTTTATTTGCCTAAAAACATTTCCATTAAAGGAAAAGACCAAAAACAGCAACTACGATCACGGTGCATTATTCACATCATTGTATTTTCTAATGTTGTTATTATACAATGCCGAACAAAGCTTATTTTACTAATTTGACAAACATCATGGGACAGAAGTCGAGACACAAGAATATCTTGTTCTTGTCAAGCACATAAAATACAGAAATTAAATCAATACTTTAGGGTCACGATCTTTCTCCGCTCGTAAACACTCTATCATTGTTCAAGCAGACATTTTCGATACAAAGGCACAAAATGAATTAAAAATACGAATGAAAAATAGATATATATATAATATATATATATGTGTATGTATATATATATTTATATATGTATACAGTACTTAGATTACAATAAACAACTAGTATCTTTTCATACAAGTGTCTTAACAAGAAAATGTGTATAATCCAAATATACTAAATTACAAATGTCTTTCAGACACATCAGACCACTCCTTCGTGAGCATCTTCCAAATTAATGATTTCTATTTCGCTAATCTTTTTACCTGCAAACTCTCGAAATAATATTTTGTCAGTAATGCTTCGTTTGAAAACTAAAAAGAAAATACAAAATAAGGTGAATAAGTTAAATTTTAAAAAATAATTAACAATTTGCATTTATTTGAAAAAACTAACCTGATGACGTTACTCTTTCCAGACGATAAGTTGGCATTTTCGAACATTCCCTAGCAATGTAATATCCAACAGTTTTGAAATCTTTTATGGGTGGTGTCATTACCTGCATTGTCTCTCTCACAATTTCTGTATCGACGTCGTAATATCCTGCCTTTAGTTTATATAAGTATTAGTTTAAAATTTTGTTATGCAAAATTATGGCAATGTTGAATTTCTTAAATATTAATGTATATTTTATACTTACTCTCATTTTCACAACAAGATCAAACAAAGAATGAGGGGGAAGAACTAAACTACGATTCAATGGCATTACAAAACATTGATGTCCATCCAGATCAATTATACCTGTTTTATTCTAAAAACAAAGTCATTCCAATTTTTAAAAAGCTCTCCAATTTAGAAATATTTTATAAAACAGATATTCTGAAATTTTTTAATATATTAGAAAATTAATGCAATGACATATAATCAAAAGTATACTACTTAGCTTATATACCTGTGCCAAGTGTTATTCCAGGACCAGAGTCAAGGCATAACCACAGAACAGGTTCTGCTTTAGGAATTTCCCGTATGACAAATGTTTAATATGGCAGCATTCTGTAGTGTGATGTATATGGTGGTGTGAAGCCCTAATGTTTTCAGATTTTTGTTACATATATGGTATGATGCCTGTATAAGAAAGGACTACTGGTACAGTAAGTATCTTGCCCATTCTCTACAGATGATTTATTTTGTAGGAGAGTTCTGAATATTTGCTAATTTTTTTGCTGTGTATATTTTGTATGTTATGGGTATTTGGTACAACTACGTCAATAATGTATGTGATTTTACTTTATCAATAGATGTGATATCCGCTCTGTTGGGATGTCTGCTCTGAGTATTTTGTCTAAAAAGACTCAATAAAAATTCTCTCATTATTGACAATTTTTATAAAAATTCACCCATCCTTAAAAAAATAAGCCTTTTGCCATTTTATAATAATAATAATATAATTTTTCAATAAAATCTAACAACAGATAGTGTCATATAAAATTTTAACTTTGAGTCATACACAAGTACTTTTAAATTTATTCTTTTTTGAAAAATATAATTTCTCATAATTTAACAAAATGACTCCTTTTAAGCTTTTTTTAATTATTTAAATTTTACTTAATAGTATAATTGAGAATTATTGGATTTCTTCCCTGGTTCCCTAAACTGGTTCACAGCAAGAAAAGTCACATAAGAGCCATTTCTAGCTTTTCTAGAAAAAATTGGAGAACTTAACAGCAAGTTTAAAAATGATTTGCTGTTAATAACAAATCATTTTTAAACTCAATCTGATTAATGGTATTAACATCTTGTCTGAATTTAAATTTAGATTAAGGGCTCCCAATCTAGTCACTAGCAATCTGAAGAGGTCCATTAATTTTATCTAGGGTTGATAGATGACTATGGTATAGCAATATAATCAAGAATCTTATGGATTCTACAACTATAGCGCATTGCTTCAAGATATCTAACGTTTTAACTCAATGCAGATGTAATTTCTGACAGATCTGAAGATCTGTTTGAAGAATCAACTGAATGTCACAATCATGTGAAGTGTCTGGTTAAAGTGTGAGAAAATATTCGGTTTTCTTGCATTTATGATGTAATTTATGATCATAACAGCTTTGTGGTGGCTAAAGTGTAATTTTTAATAAATCAGTTACTGAAAAAAAGCAAAAAATGTTCAAAAAATTATATAACTACAAGGCAGACAAATCACTATATTGATTTTTATTAGTCTCTTAGATCATAGATAACATTATAAATGCAAGAATACCAAATATATTTCTTATACCTCTTGAGTGGCTAGCAATTGTCTTCATAACTCAACATTTGACCTATCATCACCTAAACTGACCTTCATCCCTCTTCTGTTCATAACAAAAGTTTATTTTTCTTTTTTGTTACTTCCACTCAGGTCATTTTTGATGTACTAATATATTTACACTTTGTCATAATTTTTGGGTTCCATTTAATTAAAATATCCAATTCAATCTGCTTGCTATTTATAATTCAATTAAAATGAGATTTTTACAGCTGAAAAGACAATATACTATATATAGCCTGTATTTTAATTATACTGTATATGTTATGTATAATTTTTTATATTTTCACATTCCTAATGCAAATTTAATGTTTTCATAATCCATTATAATCTTCACTAAATAATAATGCATTAAAATACAGTATGGCTGCCAGCATGTGCCTCCCAATAGTGGACACCTCTAAATAGCAGACAAACTTCTTGGTCCCAATGATGTCTGTTATTCAAAGGTTATACTGTATGTATGCATATTTCTATCATAAATGATGTGTTAAATATGTTTGCAGGCTATAGTTTTGGCACTGTTTTAGCAGATGTAAGAGTTTACACATAAGGAATGTAACAGTATAATAAAATAAAAATTGATTTCTGAGCATTTAAATAGACTAAAAAAGTGCAATATAATAATATGTAAAATATCTTTTTCCCCATTCTTTTTAATTTTGATAATTGAAAACCCCAAAAATTTGTCTCCCTGAATATGCAATCATTGAAGTTTTACTGTACCTAAAAGTAAATTGTTTCAGTAAACTAATAACTGAAAAGTTATGATGTATTTTTTGCCATAATGTTAATGGTGTTTAGATACATTTTAATTATTAATGCTACATTTTAAAAATTTACCATAAATTTTGGTTTTAACAACATACCACTGAAAAATCATGGATAAATCTTCCACGTCGTCCTTGTGAAAAATCAGGAACTTCAATACTTTCATATTGCTCCAACTCTATATCAATGTCAACTTTTTGTTCAAAATTATTGTATGAAGCATCATCAGCTTGTATTGACTGATAACTTTTTAGGGCTTCGTATTTGTGTTCATCTTGCTTGTCTGGAATATATGGAACAGTGCACCATCCACGAAAATGACGGAGCTAATAAATTATTTAATACTATTAATATCTTTACTATAAAATATTTCATATAAAACCAAATTAAAAGCAATTATTAATAATCAAACTGNTGCCGATTCTAACAAATCTTTCTCCTTTTAGATTTTGACCTTTTCCTTTTCAAACTTCTTTTCCTTTTCTTAACGGGTCTGCGACTGGATCGTTTGTGTTTCTTCACGCCTGTTTTGGACCTGGATCTTTTCCTTCTTCGACTTTTCTTTCCGCCCTTCTCTGCTTTGACACAGACACAAATACACTTTCCAGTCTGACCGGATTTCATTTTCTTTGTCTTTCTATCTGACGGGCGATCTTCGTTTTCGGGCTTCTCAGCAGCGTTTTCCATGATTTACTCGTGTTCGTTGCAAAATCTCAACTGAATTAACGTGTTCGAAATCGAATGCAATTTAACTTGGTCGCGTGCTTGCTGTTGTCGTGGATTTTGTGTTTGGATGCTTGGATTCGGGCAAATAGAAATTTGATTAATGTATAATTTATTATTAATATACTTGCATCGAGTGTTTATAATAGTAATGTTATAAAATGAAGATTTGAATAATTGAAATATCAAATACGCAATCCATTGCTGTAGATAATTCGCGGTGGTTCGTTTTTTTTCTTTTTGATTTTCTCGTTATCGTTGTTATCATGATTTTCGATTCAATTTTCATTTACTCTTTGCCGTCGATTTAACAAACATTGAATTCTGATAACAATTTGATAAAATCTAGCAACGAGTTACGTAACTTTCCCGGCTGTTATGAGATTGTATTTTAAAAAAATCAGTTTTTAATAGTGTTGCAACGAATAGTATATTCGGCCTCGGGCCGAATACCGAATATTCGGCCAGGAGTGTGGCCGAACAGTCGAATATTCGGCCAAACTATTCGGCTCGATTAATGCACGTACGAAAATTGGCGCGCAAACCGCATTATGGCAAGGACCCTGCTCTCTATTGGCCCGCTGTCACTACGTTTTGCCAATCGCGTTAATTCTTGACAGTTGTAGCGGACAGACATTAGCGTCATGGCAGTATGTGATAAGTGATGATATCAAATGTGGATAACAATGAAATGACCTACACGTGTAAATAACGGAAAAAGAACAAAGAAGGACCGCGAAGTAAAAATGTGAAAATAAATGTGAAATTGAGTAGATAACATAATCGAACAAATCGAAGCAGTTTATTGGCGCGAAATTTGCGGCCCTCAATGCCAAACAATTATTGTCATAGACTTCGGAAAGCTAAATGCTTGTAATGAAAGTCACTTAGGTGCACGAGCGAAAGCCTGGGCCGTTCGGGCTTCCAAACTGTCTCGAATCTGTGAAATCATAACTGTGACATATACCGACGTCCTGTCTCTTTTCTCCGTTATCACCAGGCTTTGAGTCACGTAATTATAAAATGGAAAAACTATGACGGAAAAGTGACGAATCGAAAGTATCGTGAGCGCGTATTATGATCAGGGCCGGATTAACCCACTTTGGGGCCCTAGACATTTTCTTCTTCCGGGTCCCCTCCCGGCTCTTTCAATTTTTATGGGAATTTGATTAATTCATTCTGCACACCCCAAAAAATAAATATATACTTTCTTACTATGTTTATTTATATGTAATAATAAAATACATATATACACAGTCTTGCATTTTTATCAGTCATGTTGTTTTTCTGTTTATGGAGGTTAAAGAATATGTCTAATGTCTATTGCTTTTCTCTCTTCTTCAGGATTTTTCAGAAGTAATTAATAACATTGTAATTGTAGAGATCCCCAAGTCTATTAACCTCAACCTTGTTTGGATGCCATTTTAAGACCATTGTTCTGACATCCTCCCACTTTTTCAAAAGATCTTTAATAGCAGAAGTCAGCATTAATCCTCTTTTTCAGAAGAAAACATATATCGCTGAGTTTCTTGGTGTTCTATCGTCAGTTCCATTTCAGGTTCTATTATAAGCTCTTCAATGTTTATTATTTCTCAGATGTGATTTTTTTATTCCTTAATCTGCTTGACCCTTCTTGATTATAGAGTATCTTTCTTAGGTAAGATTGAACTGTGGCCTACTTTAGACCTGTTCAAGCCATACTGCCCAGCAATATCAGACATCTTCCCACTCTCTACCTTTGCTATCATACTCTCACCTTTCAAAAGTAAAAATTGACATAAAACTTAACGAGTGCTCGCCTGACAGTCTCGTGAATACTATAAAAGAATTGTTTCTGTCAGAAAAATAAAAAGCTGGAATTACAAGGGAGAGTTTCAAAGTTCAGAGGAATACTATCTGATCAGTATATACCGGGTTGAGTGTCGATGTCGACATCTCCTGTGCTCCAAAAAGTTCCGAATTGTTGACCGAAGACAAGGAAGACCAATCGGTATTCATTATTTTACATCGCTTCTTCTCGTGTTTGTTCTGTGAGGTGTTCGTTATCCAAACTGTTCGTTAACCGATCACCCACAGTATATGTATAATAAATATATATACACCAGGTGGTTATAAAATAAGTATTTCTATTTGGAGCTGTCAGTAGCTTGAAGGAATAATCCAAATGATACCAAAATTGGTACACTTACTATTTAAGAAGGGGAAAGAATGTAACAAAAAAGTATTGCCAATAGAGGGCACTGTAAAGTTTGAAATGTAATGTGTAATACAAGAAGAAAGAATTAAGGTGCAAAAACTGATGGCATACCAGTATTTATTGGAAAATGTCACAGTTAATGTGGTTACACTGTAGCATTGCATTGACAATCCAATTCAGGCTCCACAATACTGATAAGTCCATTGTGCTAGACTACTGGTGTATGGTGTGCTCAACTGTTAAATATAATGCATCAGGAGTGATACTCTGCACATTTGATATGCTATCTTTTAAAGCACTTAGATTTGAGACACCTCAACAGTACACATTTGATTAAAACAGGCCCCATAGCACACTATTTGCAATTTTTTTTCTTGTTCCATTCTTCTCCCTCCTCCTTAAATAGTAAGTGTACCAATTTTGATTTCATTTGGGTTATTCCTTCAAGCTACAGACAGCTCCAAACAGAGATACTTATTTTATATATTTTATTTACACAGTATACATTTATCTATTTTGCTTACCTAGCTAATATAAGTATGATTTTATTATATCAAACAATGAATTCTTATACAAATGTTTAATATTACTCATGATACTTATGTGGAATTTAACTTTCTATTTTAATATTTTTATTATTCTATGTTAACTTGACAATCTGACTTGTAGTTAATTTTTAACAATAAAAATCACAAAACCGGAATTACTAATATTTGATATCAACAAAATAATATCAGGTATCTGCCACATTTTCATTGTTCTAAACAAGGTCATTATGACATATCCATCTACTTTTAATATATAATTCAATTTTTTTGAAACTTATGCATACCATATTTACATATTTACTCGCATACAAGATGAGGTTTTAATTCATTTTTCACTGCTTCAAAAACTAGGTCGTCCTGTACACGTGACAGAGATAAAGATGAATAGCAAAAGAAAAAAACAAAGCTTTTGAATTGAATTCCAAATTGAAATTTCAAAATCATACAGGAGCCCAATATAAGTTTTAATCCATTCCCATGTGAAAACAGATTATTATTCTGAAATCAGAATTCAGAGAAACTCATAAATGTAACTGACGAAAAGAGTGAATTTAACTTAAGAATTGCCAAAAAAGGCTCCCAACTGTCCAGCTTTACATGAACAAATTATGTTGTTGATTTTACAAGATTTTTCCTTAAAGTTTAAAATGGAAGTAATTTTTGCGGGACAATGTGTGCATTTGATATTTTATTTGTGATTAAACGAAATAAAATTAGAATTGTATTAATAAATCTAATTTTCTTTATGTTGATCTTTAAAGTCATAGTATCCAAGATCATTTAGTTAGTACAGTAGAGCGTCGATTATCCGAATGTTGATCAACCAAACTGTCAGTTAACCGAATGCATTCCAGTCAGACTGTGTCATGCTAAATTGAACGTTTTTGATACTAGATTTACTTCTAAAGTATAATTTTTTTGTTTTTATATTTTTCAATATATTTATTTTATTTGTACAGAATAAAGAAATAATTTTTAATGCCACAATTATTATTATAAAAATTTTTGTTAGGCTTAACATCAACGAAAATTCAACGCAAAGCGACATGCAACAGAAAAATTTAAACATGGGATATATTAATATACTATTATTGGGATATACTAATATACTATATTAATAATGTATTTTTTTGTACACAATTGGTTATCTGAAAAATCAATTTTCCGAACAACCCCAGTCCCCAAATGATTCAGATAATTGATGCTCTACTGTAGTTAGATTTGTTATATTGAGTCTTTGGTTAACTTGAAATAATATTGTAATCACTTGATATATATGTATATTTTGTATCCTAATCCAGACCAGGGTTGTTCCAAGCCTTACTATAAAAGGTACTAAAAAGAGTACTAGATAACAAAAAATGGTACTAAGTTTTCTCTAAAAAATCTATCAGTGATGTGCGATAGTATTTTTAAAAAAATTGATATTAATATCGATAATAGGACATAAATATGTGCATAATCAATACATTAAGTCAAAACGATGTATTGACTCATGCGAGCATTACTTTGACTGTAAAGTGTTGAATTATGTATATATTATATATTATTTAAATATATATTTATAAACAATAAATTTATAATTTTTGAAATTTCTATTTATTAAAATATATAGTATGTTACATGTAACATACAAAATTCATACAGGCTAAATTCATATACAGTGGAACACTGGTTAACGAACATCCTGGTTGATGACCAAATCGGTTAACGAACTTTTATTTTGCAAAAATTTTGTCTCGGATAACGAACAAAATTCAGATAACAAACGTAACGGTATTTTGTGTCAGATTTCAGTTGGTGTTAGGCATGTGCGAGTTAAGCATTGCTTTTCTGAGTGTTTGTGCTATGCTTCTTTTTTCAGTTTTGTGATTTACATATTTAATCAATATGGCATCCAAGAAAGAAAAAAGTCATAGTGGCAATAGAAAACGACAACGCAATATGAACGACAAATCTCAGCATTTGAAAAAAATTTTGATTAAAAGAGTAAGACAATCAACTTTAGATCAATTTCTTGTTCCTTACAGAAAGAGTTCATTTGTTTTTTAAGTTATGGTAACGCAACACTTGGGCGATCTGCCTAGGGGGAATGCCTTCTGGGAGGTGTTTTTAAGGGAAAGTAGCCCCTATTTAGGCATTACAGACGTGGAGAAAACCCGGAAAACTCCACGTGGCCAGCCCATCTGAGCGAGGTGCGAACCCACGAACGAACTCCCCGTGTTCAGGGTACGAAGACCGCTTAGCCACTGGTGGGCTTTCTTACCAAAAGGGACTTTGACTCGAAGAATCTTCCGATGAAGTGCTACTCGTTACTTTTTTGGAGGGGATTCCCCTTCTAAGCATTAAGGTTTGTATATCTCCACTTTTCTACCATCAACTACAACAAACGAAGGTATGTACAGTGCTATTTTATTAAACAAAGTTTACATGTTTGTTGCTGTAATGATAGATACTACGTTTTCCTACATTTTCATCAAAGAAAACTTACTGTGTATTACAAATAAAATCACAAAATTTTCGGAGACTAGAACGGATTAATTTCATTTGCATTAATTTCTATGGGAAAAATTGCTTCGGTTAACGAACAATTCAGTTAACGAACGGAGTCGCGGAACGGATTAAGTTCGTTAACTGGGGTTCTACTGTATTACCATGTGGAGGCAGGAGATGGCGACTCCACTCCACAGTGGAGTGCAATTCAAAACATTACACATATATTGATGTCCAGTGTTCACTGACCATATCAGTGTTCATGTGCCTCTAGTGATCACTTTGAGCACTACCAATTGTTTAGCATTGGAACTGTTAGATGTTAGAACCTAAAAAATCCATTTTTACTACCAAAGTAAAGTAAAAAAAATATACAATAAAAATCAATTTTTTGAATGGTACTAAATTGAAAGAAGCGGTATCAGAATTTCATGAATGGTACTAGGAAAATGGTGTTGGGTATCTTGGTAGTGGGACAAGTAAAAAGGTACTAGATTAGTACAAAAGTACTAGGTGGAACAAAACTAATCCAGATATTCAATATAAATAAATATTTTATCCCTTGCAAAAGGCCATACTTCCATCTCTAGATCAATGACCCCTCCTGTGAATATAATTTTGCCACTCGGATAATATAAAAATCCTATCACTTAAAGCATCCATTTAATTGTGAGTTAGAATTCAATACAAAATAATAATTATAACTGGTGTCAGGACCCTGATGTAAGACAGAATGAATTTCACAAATCCTTCCTTTCTCCCCTCAACTAAAGATTTACATCCTGATAGTGAGTGGGTTTCACACCACAATCTCACAATAGTAATGCAAACTAAGAAATATAAAGAGATATAAGAATATAAGAAATAAAAATTTTTAATTAATAGTTTCAATAAATTAAAGATAGGTTTATTACCCTGTAATGAGCAAGTTGTCTATATAAATAAATTCCACCAATAATTCCTGTTGTCAATACCAAGAGAGCAGTTATGAAAACACACAATGTTGTTGTTGAACTAACACGTCGCACATGAGGATGCATGGTAACAACAACTGGCCTTCCTTCTTCAGCATCTCTTCCTGCAACCTGAAAAATAATTTTTAAATTATTAAAACAGTACATATTAATTTAAATTTTATTTTGGCATTTTAATCAATTAAATATAATAAAATAACTATAATTATCATTAAGATATAATGCTAATCATTTTTAAGGAGTCATTTTATTACTTAATAACATTTGAATAAAAAACTGACTCCTTAAAAACAATTAGCATTGTATCATATTGATGTATTTAAATATGGAGCTGCTTATTAACAGTTAACTATAATTAAACAAGATTTTTTGTATATTTGTGAAATATTTATATTTTTTAAAAGATAACTATAACTGTTATAGTAAAATTATAATGAAACAATATTTTAAAGCAGTTGTTTTCAAAGATTTTTTATTTGGTATTTTGTATTTGAGGACCATTTAAACCATATCATAAGATATAGTGGGCCACCCTATGCTCCTCTTCTCATTCCATAAAAATCACTTTAGGTACATGCCAAAAAATTTTCTTTATTCAGTGAAGCAATATAAGAGAAATATGTTTTCCTCTGGCTAAACAGTATAGTCCATGAACCACCCAGCACATATATACCAATGGCCCAGTGACTATACTCTGAGAGCCATAGTTTTAAAGTAGAGGTCCCCAAACTTTGTCTCGTAGACCATGTGTCAATTTTTTCTGTTTTGGGTAGACCCCCATTTCTAATATTGAACTGTTACAAATTCATCAACTTCAAATGTGTTTTTGACAGCTGACACACTTTGTTAGGTTTAATTGTAGAGTGAAAAAGTTAAAAAAACATGTTAAGTTTTAAACATTTATTAATTAAAACGACACAAAATGCAAATCTAGTGTGAGATAAACCGCGGGTCAGGGATCAATCTCCCACTGACCACTTACTCAGCAACAGGTTGATAAAATCCGATCTCGGCGTCGTCGGATGGCTAGGAGGGCAGTTCGAGTGGGAGGGAGGTGAGCAAGTTGATAGGCGTCCTTAAAATGACAGGAAACAGGTTTAAACTAAACAAGCATTTATTATATACTCAACTAAGCACTACAAGAAGTTAAAAGCGGTTATCTCGACTATTTACATAAATTCGAGCACGAATTTTAGAGTTCGAGAGAGAGCACTTACAAATCCTATATACCCAAAATACCTGTCGGTGGCAGGGCGAATTAGCGAACGTTCAGGATGTGGTGTCTTCCGTGTCTTCTATTCGAGGTCCTCTCTCTATAGCTGGATCGGGTCCGCTGAATGGAGGCTCGGGAGTTTCGGGGACACTATTACTAAGTACAACTTCCTATGACGAATCGCCCTGAGATTACGGAGATTCGAGCTTTTATACTTTTTCGTGCGAGAACTGACACGTCATCGATTCTTGTTGACGATGACGGTGCATTTTTCACACCTAACTGTAAACTTCCTCAGTGAGTTGTGATACAATCGGTGTAATCCGATCTAGTACAAAATCTTCGGGTTTTTTCCAAAGTTAATTAACAAGAAAATTCTAATTTTTTTAAAAGACCCGCAAAAATCCACGGGCTCACACTAGTAAATTATAACAAAATAACTACACAAAAAATAAATGCTTTTAATGGGAGAAAGGGGCCTGATGTTTTAATAGCAAATTTTCAATATTTGGCTTCAATTCAGTGAGCTGTAACCTTAAATCTCTCCTTCAAAACATTACACATATATTGATGTCCAGTGTTCACTGACCATATCAGTGTTCATGTGCCTCTAGTGATCACTTTGAGCACTACTAATTGTTTAGCATTGGAACTGTTAGAGGTTAGAACCTAACAGATGATCAATGACCCCTCCTGTGAATATAATTTCAATAACCAATCAATGATTTCTAATCTGTTTCTTTTTTTTGCAAGAAGATTGGCAATTGCACTGAAACCCCTTTCCATGAGGTATGAAAATGGAAAAGCTATCAAAAACTTTCTCTTGCGATAGTCCATAATGCAGGATAAGTAATAGGTATGTCTCTCTGAAGCCAAAATTGCTGTTATCTCTTTCTGAACTGTACCTTAAGTTCTTCATTAATGCTTATTCTGATCAGTTCTTCTTGTAATATGACATCCGTTTCTTCAATGTTACCATGTGTATTGATAATCCACTGTGGTATTTCCATAGTCAAAACATCCTCAAACCTAGTTTCAAAGTCTGTGTGAAACATATTTAAATGTTGAACGTAGGTTGAATCATCATCATCCTGGCAGTTTGTCTGTGACAAACTGGGAAAATTCACACCATCCAATATTTTGCTTCATTAGTTTAATTCTGACAAGAAAAGCTGAAATGATGGACTTTGTTTTTATCAAATTTAGACTGTCACCTTGTAACTGCAAGTTAACCCCATTAAATTTAGTGAACAAATCTGTTAAATAAGCAATGTCTGGTTTCCACTTAAATTTTCTTTTAAAATTGGATCTTTATCATCCAAAAACTCTAAAACTATCTCAAAAAGTGAAAAAAAAAAATCTTGTCAAACATAAGCTTTTTGACAGCCAGCATACTTCAGTGTAAACGAGCAACTGATGAAAAGTTCTCATTATTTTCTTCACACAGCTGCACAAATAACTTAGTATTCAACACGTTACTACGAATTTTGTTTATTGCATTATTGACAAATTGAAGAGATTGATGCAATCTACTACTCAGATTTTTAGCAACTAAATGTTGTCGATGGATGTACACTCGTGGACCCCCATTTACATCTCATGCACCCCCAATTTTTGTTTTTGCTGACATGGACCCCTTGCAGTTCAGAGTCGACCCCTAGGGGTCAATATAGACCACTTTGGGAATCATTGTTTTAAAGCATAAAAAAAATGTATAGTTTTAAAAATTTAAATACTTATACTTAGTACAAATCAAATTATTTTGGATATTTGGTTATATATATGCATACATAACTATTTGGAGTAATACATATTTGTATTATTTTAAAAAACATAGGCATCTATCTTGAGTAAAAATTTTTATTTAAATTGCATGTTACAATATATTTTTCACAGGTCATTAATTTTTGTACTATATTTACATATTGTCACTTGAATCACAATCATTTGTGTGAAGGAATGAATGAAATAACTACAATAATGGATATCTTACTTATGCAGAAAAGATCATTCAACATCCATAGACGTTAGTACTTGGTCTTGGAATTCAATGATTAGAATTTTGAATCAAGTCCTTTAAGTCTAGATTCTTAGCATGACTCTTCTCAAATTTTTGCTTTGCAAATCCAGCTAACTATCCCTTACTAAGAAAAAGTTTCCACTGATTTTCTTTTTGAAGATGTTTCCTTTCTAATTTGGTGATTGCTTCAACAACAAATTTATATGAATATATACAGACAGTTCTTCCTGAACACTAACATCCAAAACTAAGTTCTTAATTTGACAAACTGTGGCATAATCAGAATCTGCATATAGAGCAAATTCTTTACTTTTCACAAAAGAAAATACCAATCCTTATCCATGTTCCCCACCTTGTGATGATGGACAGGTGGCAGCAGGGGGAACTGGAGACTGGATATACTGAAAACTAACCATAGGTGAGGGTTGTGATCATTGACAATCTTACCCTTTCCTCTGTTAAAACAGGTAAGCAGCAGCATTGCATTTAATGGTTTCCAGATGTGGAGAGTAATGTACTGTAATACATGGTAAAGACACAAAGTATGAGATTCTAAGTTTTTCTAAGAATATTTCCCAACTTTTCTCATACAAAGGAAAATGGGTTAGGGAACATTGGGTATAAGTTTATGGAACCAAGGAGGCAGTGGCTCAAAAAAAATTGGAAATCACTGGTATAGAGCAACTCTTGCTGAAGCTTTCTTTTAAACTTTTTTCATCTCTAAAATGAACCTGTTTGCTTTGGGACATTTAGAACATATAGAGTGACACATCAAATTAAGGACACATACTATGCATGAAATGTAATTCAAGTTACAAACATTGGTTTTAAATTTCTGAAAGCTGAGAGAACATAAGGTGCTATCTATTAGTATAGCCTGTATGTTTTAGTACTTACTGTCATCTGGCCATAGCTTCATGCAAGAATCACTAAATGCCTGCATTACATGGGCAGTATCAGTTTTATAGCTTATAAATCTTTAAGAGTGTAGCATCCACTGGTTTGCCTGTTTGAATAAAAAAAGAGTCAAACCAGCGGATTTAACATTTAATAACAAGCAGGCTGTTTGTTATTAAATATTCAAAGCAAACCATTTCATGTCATCCATTGTTTTGTCCACAAGAAACAAAACAGGGTTTGCTCCAATAATATCTTTTATCCTACTGATTGTGTTTGCATATACTGGTTGAACGTAACATTTTCTTACAGTATTTTCACCAGGAATGATTTTACCAGTCCATCTCTTCAAAACACTTTTCAGACTTGGATGGCTGATCTTACTTGATCTTATCCCAGAATATGAGAAAGCTAAAGCTAAAGATGAAAAGAATTTGTTTCTTTTTGGAAGCAGCACTATTACTATTTTCTACAAAGGTTTTTTGAAACAAGTTTGTTTTTCTTGCTTTTTTGACTTTGTTTCCATTTACATTTGTTTCCACGGTCAAAATATGCTTTTTAACACATTCTGACTTGTGCTTTTCATCAACAGCAATCTTCACATCATAAATATTACACCTCCAGATAGTAAGGAATTGAATATTTTTTATTGATGTACTATATTGTCTGCATATTCTAATACTGTAAGTTACATTTGTATCTGCCTGCAGACTATAAAAAAAGGGCATCAAACATTATGCTTTGTAGTTTTTTATTAGATCTAGAAGCTGTCCTCTATAGTTTGAATCATTGATATGGCTCAAGTCAACACCACCAGTATCTATGAAGGCAACATCAATTTTGTTAGGTGTATTAAGTTCACGGGTTGGATGTCACGCCAACTTATGTCAATCAAAACTTCTTCTTCCAAGAACGTCAGTCTATGAGGCGTTAAATATACTTGAAATTATTTTAATTTACAAGTGCTTGAAGACGACGTGC